GAAAGCTGAAACTTTAGGGTTATGTTCCCTATCTATGTATGACCAAAAAATTTTAGATTCAGCTCCCTAAAGCCATCTGGTACTCACGCACGGACACGTGAAAATTTTGATGGGGGAACTGCCAACTCTGGAACGGGAAAAGCTGGAGGCTTTAATTTTAAGGGTATGTTCCCCGCTCATGTGCGATTAAAAAACTTTAAATTTAACTCTTCTAGCGTGGCATTTTTTGCGGACCAGCAACTTTCCATTTATCGGGTCACTGAAGTCGACACCTACAACTGACGTACCACACGGCTGCACAATTCATCCCCGAACTTCGAGGGCCAGTATTTCACAGGGTTAGCTACTTTGATTCCTTGCGATCTTGCTACGGCACACGACACCTACAACTGACACACCACATAGTTGCACAATTAACTTCCCGAACTTCGAGGGCCAGTATTTCATGCTACATTGCTCCTTGCGTTCTTGCTACGGCACGAAAAGTGCAAAAACGCATAATCGCACCGGCCCGCCTGGTGCGTTCCAACCTGGGTTTTGGAAAGGACCGCTCGACAATACTTTTACTTTTTAGTGAACTGGAAATTTGCATTTCAAAAAGGCAGGGAAATTTGATGGAGTACCTTAAAGTTTGATGCAAAAACGCATGATCACACCGGCTCGCCTGGTGCGTTCCAGCCTGGTTCGCATTGCATAGCTGCAAAAAACGCATAAAAACTCGGCTCGGGTGATGATCTATGGTGCTTGGGCCTTCCAGCGCTTTGCTCTAACATCTCTGCCAGCACTGTTTTGCGGCGCCGCCCGCTGGAACTTTGCCAGGCGCATTGGGTAGCGCTGCCCAGTGTCTGGCGGTTTGGTCACATGGCCGGCGGGCGATGGGTGGGAGGATTGGACGTGGATGAGTGGTGTTGGTTAGTAATAGCCTAGATAGAGCTCAGAGGACGCGACTGAGGCCAGGATAGTGTGGAAGGATGAAGTTATCGATTAGGAGTTTAGGACGATAAACAGTGACAGTGATTAGAGATGGTGGGTATCCCAATGCGACTCTGGAAGCAGGAATTAGGAACAGGATGCAGAGGGGAAAGAAGAGTGTTAGTCAGGAGTTCGGAGCAAGAACTGCAGATAGCAGTGAAGAGGAAAATAAACCAACACGGCACTAAAAGAAATGTAAATTAAAACAAACCTGAATTTGTGAACAAAAGGAAAAAAGCAAAATCAAAAAATTGAAGCCTGTAACCAAAAGTAAAAGCAAACAAAAACTGAGCTTATGTGAGTAGGATTTGCCTTACAAAAAGCCGTCTTCAGTAGGCGGTCCCAGCATTTATGAGGTTGATGCTTAGGTGAAGCTGCGGGCAAATAAGTTCGACAGGATTTACTGAAGCTTATACTTAGGTGAAGCTGAGAGCAGTTAATTTGGACAAAATTTACTGAAACTTATGCTTAGTGAAGCTGAAGGCAAATAAGTTCGACTGGATTTACACAAGAATTGCAGACAATTCCACAGTGTTGCGTCTCGCAGCCTGCAATTGTACACAACAATTATACCTCTTTTTTGCCAGTGAAGGCTTACTTCATCCCTGTGCATCCATTGTACCTCCCTCTTGCTCACTTCATGGAACTTATTAGCTCTCAGCTTTACCCAAGCATCAGTTTCATAAGTAGGGAAGCCTGACGACGGGCTTTTGTGGGACAGCTTTACCTAAGCATCAGTTTTATAAAAAGGAAAGTTCAGTGATGACAGGTTTTTATGGATCAGTTCCCACTAGCAAAACCTCAATTTCTTTTGCTTTTATGCATAAAGTCAGATTTGCTTTGATTTATTTTTATTTGTTTGCACAATGTTGCCTTTTTTTCTTTGCTGCTGCCTCCAGTTTTTGCCTCGAGTTCTTGACTTGCATCTTCATCCCCTCCTCTACCCTGCCCCAAATCTTGCCAAGAAACAAGATATAGATCCCTCTCCATCTCTACTATCACTGTTCGAACTTTCCCCACCCCAGATATCTACGGTAAAAACCAGGAGCACACTTCCCCATCCTTTCCGTTCTTTACCGCTCCCCTCTCCCCTCCAAATGTGTGTTAATTAGTCAATCGCAAACGATCTACGCCATTTATTCCTTGTATCCACCTATCCTAGGTCCCTCCCCTGTCTCGAACGAGACCTGCCACGTACCGCCCTCCACTTTCATCTGCCACATTCAAACTGCCGCTACCTGTCGTGGGACAGCCCTACCTGCCGTTGGGAGAAAAAATTTTTTGCAGTTCGTGTATGGGACGAGCTGAGCCGAGCCGTGTTTTCGTCGTTGCCGTTCTTTCAGTGGCGGCTTATCGACGTGAAGTGGTGGGTAGCGGTGGGGAGGGACAGGTTAGGTTTAGGGAGTTGGCAGCTTAGTGTGTGGCTGGTTCCGGCCTAGAATCGAAAAGGGGGGGGGGTTGTTGGCGGAGATACTGATGGAACACGAGGTAGGCGTGTGGGAGAACGGTGGTTAGGCGCCACGTGATGGTGGAGTGGTTCTTCTTTGCATCTGAACTAAGCTTGTTGGCGTTTAAAAAGAAGGAATTGCTTTGAGTGAGTTATTTCAGGCCGCAGGACTAGCAGCTTCAGTGATGCCTTCGGAAGGCCGCGAAAGTCAGCTGCAAGGTTGGTCGTATTTTTTTTTTTTTTTCATTTCGAGCCACGGATAAGCTGCCTGAGTAGCAAAAGCGAAAAGGTTGCTGCAGGCAAAAATATCGCTGTGCTGGACGATGATAGTTTTCGATCTGGTTGTTCGTGCAGTGAAGCAGGTCGGCAGATGAACTCAGTGGCGGACGAGACACGAGGCGGGTCGGCCGCGCAGCAGCACGTGATCACTTTGGAAAGCGGGAAAGGAGTTATTGTGGAGCAGATGGCCAACAAAGGTAATCTGCCTGTTGACTACTTCCATCCGTCGATGTTCTTCGGGTCAAGCATGGGAGCTTGGTGCTACTACTGAGTAGCCGGTGTGGCCAGGGAGAGGTACCAGCAGCATCCCTCCTGCTGCTTATCGGTGCGCTGCGCTGCGCAGCTAGTTTTGAATTTTCGCCATTTTGCAGTTTCAGTTTTCTGTTCTGTCTTGTTTTTTTCTGGATTAGAAATTTGTTGTCTCAGGAAGCTCACGTCTTTTAGGCTTAACGAAAAGCCAAGTCTTTCCTTTCATCAAGCAGGCAATTTTGAGGAGCGCCCCACGTTTTTAGTGGGTTATAGTGGGATGGGGGAGAAAGGGATCGAATAATTGGCGCAATTCAGCAACTTCTGTCTACTACTGCAGATTAGCGTCGAATTTTTCAGGCGTTTCTCCAAGGGAGATTGTTCGCTGTCTGTTGCCGGATATTTCTCTGCCTGACGACCTCTCCGATGACGATCTCTGTCACATCGTACAAGAAATTTTGTGTAGCGAGCAATTGAAACGTGCAAAACTGCCGCAGTTCAACACATTTGATGACGCCGTTGAGCTTTTCAGAAGGTTGCGCTGTATTTCTCATAAGTCATTTAGGATTATGCCTTGTTCTGGCCTCCGTTCTTCCCTCCCATTTGCTGCTTGCTGAGTGAGACAGTGAACCTCCGATTTCTGATTTCCTGCGCTACACCAAGATTCAAAATTGCATGGATGAGATCAGTTTGGCGTCTCTTTCTCACATATCTCATTGTTTTAGGACTTGGAATCCAGCAGGCTGGAATTCCCTGAATAAACTCCCTAATTGGTCATGAAGCTTCAAGACATTCATGTTTTCTTCTGTTGTCTTTGGTTTCAGTCCCAAATCAGGTTGCATAACTCATAAACTGAAGAAAGTGCAAGTCGGGATTGTAAACTTCTGAAAACTGCTTTTTAATTCACCGTGTTCCCTGAGCTTGGTCATGCACGTAGGATTTTTAGGCAACTTTTGTAGTCTGAGAACCCAAAAATACTGGACACGTACTTGAAATCTTACGTTTTCAGATGTAAGACGTTAGAACTGCATTCACACCATTTTTATGCGTCCTTGCGTATTTTCAAACGCAAAAATGCATCTTGTAGCGATTTGTGGTGTGTTTGTATGTATATGTTAGTGTGTATGTGTATGTCTGTTCTGCTTTTTCAACTCGGTAGCCAAGCAAGCCTCGGTACTATAATTTTGCCAGTAGGTTCCTTAACCAAACGCCACTTTGCCCCTCCCCGGTGCCGTCCGGCCTCAGATGTGCCGTAGCAAATTTCACGCGCATCTAAACTCCGCATACGGGCGCATGAAAGTTGTCGAGAAAATTGCTAATTCAGGGACCAGAACAACTGAAAAGCTGAGGTTTTAGGGGTATTCTCTGTCCATGTACAACTTAGGAACTTCAAATTGAGCTCTCAGGTCTGCGTGGTTCTTGCGCATGATATATTGAAATTTTGGTGTGATGATTGCTAACTTGGGCAAGCTAGGAAACTGAAACTTTGAAAAGATATTCTGTTTGCGTATGCGATCTAAAGATTTCAAATGCAGTTTCCAACTGCGCTTGGTTCTGAAATGCAAACAAGTAAATTTTTGGTAGAAAAATTACTGTCTCACAAAGCAGAACAGGTAGGTCATTTTTCAATTAACTACTGCTCATTGGGAAGTGTTCGTTTTCTTTTATGCGGGATTTACGGTGATTTATGCTAATGAGCGCAGAAATTAAATGTAAAGCAACAATCGTTCATGCTTTTAGCCACCTGATTGATCATGTTTATCTCAAAAATGCATTGGCATGCCAGGTTCGTGGCAGTCTGGATTATGTCTAGTCCTGGAGCGTTTTCCGATGAGAAATGATTTTTTAGCACCGGGACAAAAAGTATTAATGAGCAATCGACAAGTTATGGCAGTCATCCTGTCTTTGTTAATTCCATCAAAAATGCTGCCAAAAGATTCATATTATTTTAACTTTACGGAAGTTTTGGTAGTTACATGATCAGAAGTTGGCGGGTTCACTCAGTGTGAAAGATGGACATAATAGCTCGAATGGTAGCATGCGCCAACATCTGTAACATATTGGCAAAACTGTTGATTGTTTTTTTTGAACTGAGTTGTGGCGGTTTGGACTAATTCAGTGAAATGCGCCAGTGTCATTTCACTATCAAAACAAATGAACGGGTCGTAAAGAAACTAGTGGAGTCAGGTCTTTAACAATCACATTAACAGAGTGCTACTTGCTGTTGCGCTATGTCCACAGGCATCCTCGTGATAGTGTGGTTTTCTAGGTGCAGCCGTATCTTGGTTTTGACAGGTGCAGGTGTTTCTGTTTCCTGTGGTATACCGGATTTTCGAAGTACTGGTGGGATCTATGCGCGGCTTCATGTGGAATATCCGGATCTTCCAGATCCAACAGCAATGTTCGACATCAGATATTTTTCAAGAAATCCAAAGCCATTTTTTGAATTTGCAAGGGTGTGTTCATTATGTTTCTGATTATGTTCAATACCTATATTGCAGCTTTTATGCAAGTGCACGAACGCATATTGGCAAGAGACTCTCTGTATGTTCGCACTTTTGTCACCTACTTTCAACTTGAGGACCAGAAAAGCTAGAAAGCTGGAGCTTCGGGACGTGTCCACTCCCCTCCCCATGCGGCTCTCCGTAGTATCATTCATGCACACCTGGGTCCCACGTACGAAGCCTCCAAAAATATATTTTCTAGCGGAAAAGCGATCTCAGGAACCAGTGAAGGCGAAAAGCTGAAATTTTGAATAGATGTTCTCTGTGCACATACAAATTAAATATTTCAAATTCAGTTCCCAGGCGTTCGTGGTTCTCACATGCAGGCACGCGGGAATTTTGGTAAGAAGACTGCCAAGTCGGGAGCCAGAAAAGATGGAAGACTGAAATTTTAAGGGGATGTTCCTCATCCACTAACAATTTAAAGGTTTCAAATTCCATCCCAAGTGTGCGTGGTTTTCATGTGGGGGAGCGTAAAAATTTTGGTGAGAGGATTGCGTACTGAACAGCTAGATCATTTTCAAAAAACGACCGCTAAACTGAAATTGTCCATTTTTCGTTATGCAAAATATATGATGATTTGCGCTAATGAGTTCACAAGTAAAATATAAAGTAACAACCATTCATATAATTGACGAGCTGATTGCTTCAAGTTTAGCTCAAGTTGATCATGCATGACCATACCGACAAACTTGATGCTTTCTACCCTAGGAAGTGGTGAACGAATAAAGTAAGGCTTCTTACAAACGCATACCACGAATTGCAGTTGAGTTGATTGAAGCTTTGTTGAGCGGACTGCCGCGGTCGATGTCGATACCGAATAAGCACGAAGCCGAGGCCAATCAGGGATCCAAGGGCGTGTAGAAACGGGAAGCCAAGCGGGGCACTGTCGATGTCGGTAAGAGTGGCCAGGAAGTCGTGGTCGTTGTCGATGAGAGTAACCCTGTAACTTGAAATCCTGTCGGTATCGGTGAGAGTGGCGAGGAAGTTGAAGTAGCGAGGAAGTCGAAGTCGTGATTGCTGCCGATGAAATGAGTGTGAGAGAGATGGTGACTGAGGATTCCAGTCGTTTTTATGCGGTTTGTTTGGGGTGAGGCTAGGTCCGTCCTGGGCATAATTTTTGAATTTTATCCAAGCCACCTTGTAGAGGAGAGGGAAGTGGTCGCGTGCAGCGCAGCTGCACTAATTTGTTTGTTTCAAAAAACGATATACTTGTTTACAGTTTCTTTCTGTTATCGTTATGTCAAATGCATATAATGATTTATTATCTGCATTTGAACTTTTACATACAATATTTTGAATTTCTTCCTTGCAACTTTTTGATTTTGAGGAGACTGTTCTCTTCACACGACTTTATCATATAAGGCACGACCCAGTGGTTTCAGGTTGTATCGTGTTAGCAAGTAAGAGAGAGAGAGAGAAAGAGATTTACTGCGGTGATGCGTAGGCTGCCCGTAGCTTCACCAGCAACTTCTCACTCATTCTGCTGATCGGTTTTTGCTCCGTAAATTGGTATCTTACGGTCGTTTTCTGCCAGGCATTTCTGTATGTGTTTTGGGTGGAAAGGGGTGCATCGTTTCTTTCGAAACTGCAGTGCCTGAAAAAAACTGAAACTGACTATTAAGGAATTGTTTCCTGGCCGATATAAAGCTTCACTCTGTCATTTCTTTATCAAATCACTCGAAGACGCTGGAAAATTGTTGAGGAATTACACGCAGAATATCGACACACTAGAGCAGGTGGCCGGCATCGAACGTATCGTACAGTGCCATGGTATATTCATCACCTTAAATCTGTTTTTATGCGTTTTTTGCAGCTATGCAATGCTGAAAACGCATATTGACGAGAGATTGTCTGTGTGTGTGTCCGTGTGTTCGTCTGTACCGATTTTTCATCTCGAGACCGGCAAAAGCTACAGGCCTGAGACTTTGGGGACATAATCTACATGCACGTACGAGCCCCCATCCCCGAAATGGGCGGTCTTACCCGCGTGGTACCCGTGCACGAGTTCGCCAAAATTTTTTTCGGGTAAGTTGATAACTAGCGAACCAGAAAAGTTAGAAAGCTGAAATTTTAAGGGCATGTTCTCCGTCAAAATAGGTATTAATTAGCTGAAACCCAGCCCGCGAGTAAGTGTAGTACCCGCGTACGGGCCCGCCAAAATTTTTCCCGGGTAAGTTCATAACTCGGGGATCTGAGATGCTAGAAAGCTGAAGTTTTAAGGGGATGTTACCCGTCCAAGTAGGTATTAATGAGCTCAAACCTAGCGCTCGGGTAAGCGTGGCACCCGCTTACGAGCCTGCCGAATTTTTTTCGGGCAAGTTGATAACTCGGGAATCAGAAAAGCTAGAAAGCTAAAATTTTACGAGGATATTCCCCGTCCACATTAGTCTCAGTAAGCTCAAACACAGCCCTCGGTCATGCGTGGTACCTACGCACGGGTTCATCAAAGTTTTCTTCGGGTTAGTTCATAACTCGAGAACCTGAAAAGCTAAAAGACTGTAGTTTTAAGATGTTCCTCGCCCAAGTAAGTCTCAACGAGCTCAAACCCAGACATCGGGTATGCGTGGTACGCGCGTGCGGGCCCGTGAAAGTTTTCCTGTAAGTTGCTAATTCAGAAGCCAGGAAAACTAAAAAGGTGAAATTTTAAGGGGGTGTTTCCTGCCAGTTTTGGCGGCCAGTCTTAATTTGTTTAGCTAGAAGGATCTGCCGAAAAAACCGGTGCCGGAAGCGACAAAAACTGCGGGGAACTATGCAAAAAACGCATCATCGCAGCCCATGCGTTGGCCAGTTATTTTTTTAATGTCACTTTGACTTATCGGTAAGGTACCTAGGAGCGGCAAGGTTCAAAACAAATTGGGGGTGCTTGGGGTATCCAGATCACACTTCGAAACAGCTAAAGCCTTGTCATGTGCTTCTGCCGGGAAAGCTGTTGGGCTGGTAGGCCCTCAGAGGACAAAACGGTTTTCAGTGTTTCCAACCCGCGACCAGCAGTCCGTACTACACTGGTCAGAGCAGCTCGAACGTTTGCCAGCTGCATAGTTGGGGAAATCGTATGCTTCAGCCTGCTGTCAGTTAAACTTCTATCTTATCACACTTTATTGACACAATTCTCGTCCTTTCCTCGATTTTTCGCTTTTTTTATTCGTTTGCCACTTTCTGTTAGTGAAACCGTTCAGTAATGGTACATCGCACACTGTGTTTCAGGAAGGCCAGTTTGGCGGCATTCCACAACCACAACTTTTTATGTGCACACTAGTTTAAATTTGCTAATGGTCGCCGCCTAAAAAAGGCTGTTTGATTTAGTGAGAATTTGTTCACATGCACCCACCCGCATGTTTTGCAAAAACGAAGCTGGGTGGTTTGTACAAAAATACTGGATTTATTCCCGTGCACTTCGTACTGTTTTCTAAATATGTCACAGAATGGATGAAAATAAATGCAAATTTTTGATAAAGCGGAAAGCGGGGAACCATTTCCTATCGTCTTTTCCGAAATTTTCTGCTCACAGGGATCAATATTGTCGAATATATTCTCTGAATTCCGCTAAACTAGGACCTAACTAATCCAATTATCATGTATTGTTTTTTGTTTTTTTCCAGGATCGTTTGCAACAGCTACGTGCAGACACTGCGGTTATAAAGTTAATTGTGAGGCGATTCGCGAGGATATTGATGCCAGAGTACAGTTTTCTACATTTTTAATCTCTGTAATGAATGAGATTTATTGCGAGCACTCACAAAACCGCATAACTGCAGCAACTTGTTAATGCAGATAGCAATTTTTTTGTGTTTTAATTAACAAAAAAAAATCTGCTACTTGCATTAGTGAATCGCTGCTGTTATGCGGCAATGCGATAACAGGGGCTTACAGCCAGGCTTATGGTAAAACGTACTGAAATTGTTTCTGTCCACTTTGGGTGGACTTTTGGCTCATTCGTTATATGCTAATGGAAAATACAAGTGGGTAAGGTGCTGCTTTGTGTGCGTATTATCAAGCTAAGGTGAAAGATCGTTTTTTGATGTAATAGTTTTCCTGGGTAAGGAGGCGGAAGAAAATCAAATTTAATTTTCGCGTTCCTGGACCCATGCTTACTGGGATAGCATAGTTTCAAAGTGTTAAATCATTGCGATGGACAGGCACATAAATGTTCTCTTCATTAGCCCGGTTTTGTTATCGACTTATTTAGGAATGCATGAAGGACTTGTACAGTGGAGTCTTCGAATTTTTGCAGCAGCCAGTAACAGTCGAGACATGCCAAAGCTTCTCGATGAAAGCACTATCGAGGAGGGG